CGCCCAGGTGGGTCTTGAACCCACGGGCTCAGGCCATCCACTCACCTCAGCCTCCCAAAGGCGCGGAATTACAGCCTGAGCCACCGAGCCTGGCTAGTTTTTTGTACTTCTAATCTCCTTTTGGTGGCACTGGGTCTAATGCTGACCTCCTGATCATAGACTGTATTTGCATTTCTCCTTATTTTACTCATAACCTGTGGTGCTGATGGTCTTCCTCAAATGTGTGTTCCCATGCAAGTTTCTGTTCTAGTCTAGACTGTAAATTCTTCTTACTAAGCTGTAGGATTTTTGCTCATCTCTATATTTAATTTTCCTGGTGAAAGCACAATGTCTTTGAGTTTGCATTTAATACAAATTTTATACACACCAATTCATGTTCCAAATGTTTTCATGTACTTAATATGCTTGCTAAATACATAAATTAAATAACTAATGCATCTAGATTACTAATACTTTAGGGTCTGGTTCTCAATAAAAAATTAGAATTAAAGATAAACTTATAACTAATCTTCCTGTGTGGTGAGTAATTTGATACCTCAGTTTATATTTTTGTCCTTAACATAATTTGATGTGTTATAGAAAAGTACAGATATTAAAATACAAATCTTTTATTTCAGTGCAACAGATATAATTTAGACAGGTTTCTATAGGAAGACCAAGCATCTCAAAAATTTTCAATTAACTCTATAAAGATAGTTATTCAGTCTATTTAGATGTAAGGACAGCTATGACAAAGAATGTAATTTTCTAAGGAAAATATTTCAGGACTTTGAACAAGAACCACAGTCCAAAAGCATCAGCCTCATTGTTCATGTTATCTCCAGTTAATATTTCAATAAATGTTTATTTGAAAATATTATGAGAAAGACACAAAGAAGTTACAAAACAGGAAAAAAGTTAACTAATATCAATTAGCATAATAAAAGGCAACATCTGTGCACTTATTAGGATTAAAAAATAAATACATATAGAGCAATACGAATCATCATTATAATTATCAATATTGTTTACAAATCTCAGTATTAAGTACTTCACAAATGTTGATATAATATGCAGTGGGATAGTTATTATTTTCTCTATTTCATAGATTATTTCAATTATAGCTTGTTCCTTATCACACAAATCATGATTCAAATCCTCTTTTAACACTATGTTCTATGTAGTTAACCATCCATACAACTCAAAAATAATAGTTAGTGCTCATTAAAAGCTCAATATGCCAAGTGCTTCACTGAAATTTCCCAACAATTTCTTGTAAAATGGATATTAACATCTCATACATGAAAAAGGAAACACACGCAGAGAAGTTACTTAATTGACCTAAATTGTATGAAAATAATACAGAGTGTGTAGTAACCAGGGAATAGGGACTGAAATCCAGAGGTTCAGATCCAGAACTCTCTCTCTGAAATCATCAAACTACATTGCATGGCATATGGCAAAGAGCTGCTTAAGAGAATATGAACAAGATATATAAGGAACTGAGAGAAAAAAATGAGTATGCTCCAGCAAGTAGATCACAAAGTCTTCTTTTTTTAATTTTTTTTTTAATTTAAAGATGTGGGGTACAATTCAGGGTTAGGTATACAAATGTTCATTATATGCAGGTACCCTTATTGATGAGGTGTGTCCCTCCCTCTCCTGGCAGTTTCCCTCATCTGTCAATCCCTTTCTTATAGTATTATGATAATTGTTCAGGGCCTGCTTATGAGTGAGAAGATAGGGTACTCTGTTCTTTGTTTCTAAGAAAGATCACTGAATATGATAGACTCTAAATCAATCCAAGTTGCAGCAAAATCCGTAGTTTGTCCATCTTTATGGCTGCATAATATTCCATTGGGCATATGTATTACTTTTTTTTTTAATCCAGTCCAGCTTCCATGGGCAACATGTTTGGTTTCATGTTTTTGCTATTGTGAATTGAGCTGCAACAAACATGCGTCTGCAGGCATCTTTTTTGTAGAATGATTTGAGTTCCTCTGGGTATATTCGCAATAGGAGGATTGCTGGGTCATATGGAAGGTTCATTTCTAGTTCTTTCAGAAATCGCCTTCCAAAGAGGTTGCACTAGTTTGCATCCCCATCAGCAGTGTAGAAAAAGTTCCCTTTTCTCTGCATCCTTGCCAGGATCTGTTGTTTGTTTTGTTAATGATGGCCATTCTTACTGGGGTTGGAAGCTATCTCAATGTGGTTTTGATTTGCATTTCTCTGATGAATAGTGAGGCTGAGTACTTTTTCATGTGTCTTTTGGCTGCCCATATATCTTCTTTTGAGAGGTGTTTATTCATGTCTTTTGCCCACTTTTTAACAGGGCTGTTTGTTTGTTTTCCTTTAGTGCATTTGAGTTCCTTGTAGATCCCAGAAGTTTGACCTTTGTCAGATATACAGTAGGCAAATATTTTTTCCCACTCTGTGGGCTGTCTCCCTGCTTTCTTGATGGTTTCTTCTGCTTTGCAGAAGCTTGCCAGTTTGATGAGGTCTCACTTGCCTATCTTATTTCTTATGGCATGGACATTTAGGGCTTTGATCAGGAATTGGATGCCAGTTCCAATTTCCATAAGGGTGTCTCTTGCATTTTCTAAGATTCTCATAGTTTGAAGTTTTATGTTACAAGAGGCAAAAAACTGGTCTTGAAATACAAAGTACAGATTTAGGGACACTGAGTTTAAAAGTTTGCAAACAGAACACAGGTTAGTATGTGGAATATGTACTCTACCTGAGTTCAAGATTTCTGTTTTAATTATTTGTGTATTAAATAAACTAGTATAATGGTGCCTAGTATACTGAAAGAATGGTGTGTTTACGCAGTAAAACTAAATAGGTTTACAACACCATAAATGCCACATATGACAAATTCATACTTAACGCCCTGCTCAAAGATAAAAGGTTAAAAGGTTTTCTCCAAGTTCAGAAAGAAGACAAAATATTCACTTTCATCACTTCTACGTAACATAGTACCAGAAGTCCTAGCCAGAGCAATTAGATAACAGTAAGAAATAAAAGTGTCAAAGTTGGACAGAAATAAATTAAAGTGTACCTTTCTATGGATGTCATGATCTGACATCTAAAAAAAAACCCTAATGAATTCATGAAAGTTTTGTTAAAACTAATAAACAAATCAGAAAATTTGGAGGACATAAAATCAACTTTAAAAAATAAGTCACATTTCTTTATAATAAGATACTATTTGAAAAAAATCAAGAAAATGATTTCATTTAAAATAGCTACAAAAAACCTGCTTGTTGTTGATATATAATAATGAGACTGTCTTTTGCACATTTGTTTTGTACTCCAAGACTTTGCCAACATCCTTTATCAGTGCAACCAGGTTTTTGATAGACTTTCTTGGATTTTTGAGGTATAGGACCATATCATCAGCAAAGAAGGATAACTTTCCACTTTTCCTATTTGGATACCCCTGATTTCTTTCTTGTGTCTAATTGCTACAGCTAGGACTTCCAACACAATGTTGAACAAAGGGAGTGAGAGTGGGCAGACTTGTCTTGTTCCAGTTTTTAGGGGATATGTTTCAGTTTCTGTCCATTTAACAATATGCTGGCTTTGGGTTTATCATAGATGGTGCTTACTATTTTGAGGTATGTTCCTTCTATACCTAGGAGTTTGAGGATTTTGATCAAGAAGGGATGGTGGATTTTATCAAAAGCTTTTTCTGTATCTAATATAATCATGTGGTCCTTGTTTTACATTTGTTGATATACTTAATTACATTTAGGGTCTTGTGGATGTTGAACCATCCCTGCATTCCAGGGATGAAGTCTACTTGATCATGGTGGGTGATTTTTGAGATTTGTTATTGGATCTGATATGCTAGAATCTGGTTGACAAATTTTGCATCTATGTCTATTAGGGTTATTGGCCTGTAGTTCTCTTTTTCTGATGAATCTTTACTTGGTTTAGGTATCAGTGTGAAGTTAGCTTCGTAAAATGATTTGGGGAGAATTCTGTCTTTCTCAATTGCCTGGAATACTTTCAATAAGGTTGATATTAAGCTGACCTAGATAAAAAATTTGGTACATATACGCAGTGAAATATTATGCAGCCATAAAGACGGACAAACATAGGGACTTCATAGCAACTTGGATGGATTTAAGAGTCTATCATACTCAGAGATTTATCACAGAAATAAAGTACAGAGTGCCATATGCTCCCAC